ACCTTTCACGAGATGAATAGAAAAATTGGCAAACATCGCCAACAAAACCTGGTTACACAAACTCTCCGACGAACAACTGAAAGACAAAAGCGAAAAATACCACCGACCCTCCAACAGTGCCAAACTCATTACTGCGCCTAAAGTAAATGAGGAAATTTGGTCAAAGCTGCCATGAGAAGCTTGAGGTAAAGATCCCAAATTTTCCCGCCTTCAAACGACCATGACAAAGGCGGCTTACATATCAGTCAAATCTACCGATTTGATGTTGAAACTGAAGGCAAAGGCTGAGCATGACCCCCTTCAATTGCTCGGACATGCGAGTTTTGAGCTATCACAAGTCTGAAGAGACAAAATCAAGCCAAACTTGCACAAGGACTACAGTGACCTGTGCTCAGCAAACGTACCAGTGAAAGATTTATTAGAGAGTCTTAGATTGACTTTTTTTCTCCCCGCAAACGGCAAACGTGTAGTTTTCCTTTATTTTACTTTACCTTTTACAAACCTTCTCACCAAGCGCAAATACTCTTTTACTACTTGGACTTTTTTGCGATTCTTTTTCAGTAATTTAAAAGAATTTTTTACTGTTCAACTGACGTTTCACGTTTGCCGTGAACGTAAATCTTAAACTCTCTATTGTTTGGAGACAAACTTCAAACCCAATTGACATACATCAGAGCAGCCAATATAATTGGYAATACAGCTCGCAAACCGTACTTGCAGAAACAACCAAGTCACAACTACAACACAAAATACAACAAACCTTTTTTAGGCTGAACAACGCTGACTCAGGGTCGACAGAACTACCACAAAGCGAAGAGCTACCCTTACGGCCGAACGAAACGTGCCGAACAGCAAACAAAGAAATAGATGCAAAAATCCCAATGCTTATAGTAAGAAATTTCAACTCAAAACTATCTAAATACGTGGAGTTCTGCAGGAAAACACTGACCTCCGACCGAAAAATTTTCGATACTGTTGAAAGCCAAAACATTGATTTCTACCAATYTCAATGGTCTGCCGATGCCGAACAAGCACAATTTATAGATTTAGAGATTCTTGTGTTAGAAGGGAAAGGAATAATTGAATCCACGGTTCAAGAACAAAATGATTTCATTTCGACTATATTCTTGCGCCAAAAAAAGGACAACATATGAGCAATGTGTTAAAAATGTTATTGATACTGCTACATTATTCACTGTTCACCCAGAGAAGTCTATTTTTATACCAACACAGAGGCTGGTTTTGTATTACATTCCCAGTCTATGAGAGTATCTCTCACACCCGAAAAAGCTTGTAAAGTCAAAACCTCTTACCAGATCCTTTCAGAGAATACTACCCCATTAATTCGAGAGGTAGCTAAGGTACTAGGACTATTGACATCTAGCTTTACAGGAGTCAAGTTTGTTTTGTTTTGGAGGAACGTCTAATCACTATTATCCCTCCCCCATGAATAGATAGAGGGAAACTTAGTTTCTAATACTCCCTCATTAATATGAGAGATGAGGCGGTAAGCCGTGTGGGATGGGCTCGAAAATCATATAAGAACAAGGATCGTCTTCCAGTTTATTTTTTTTAAAGTGACTAATCAATTCAATATTCGAATAATGAAATCATTATCAGACTCTGGGGGGGGGGCAAGCTTGTAACTAGCCTGAACAGCAATGAAAGTAAACATATAGTTGCTTATTATCATCATAATTATACAGCTTCTCATTAATCTCATATAGGTAACTGTCCAATTATTTTCTTTATAGTACACTCAACAAAATTACTCGACTCTGATTGGTCGAGAGGAGTACAATTATAGCGTTAATTGTACTCAGTAGGAGTACCGAATTAAGTCGCCATGGAAACACGGCCAAAACAATGTCAACAGCGGCAAAAWAAAGCCGTAGCAACTAATAAGAACTAATTTTTTTTATGCATTTCAGTTGCGYRATGGACTGAAAATCGGCCGCCAAATACACAAAGATGAACGGCGTCGCTTCGCATTTTTTACTGAAATTTTGTCGAGTGAACTATATACAAAAAATCGCACGATCTTCTCGTACAATTTGGAAATTAATAGACACGAGTAATGTTTTGAAAGTTCTTGTAATTGCACGAGCCTTTGAGATCGTGCGATTTCCTATACTAATTGGACAGGTCTTGTTGATATGAGATTAATTAGGCAGCTATATAATTAGTAGGTAATAAAGAGATAATTAGACTCGAAAAATTCCTCTGACTGCCAATTTTGTCAGTCCTCGGAATTTTCCTCGTCCAATTATTTGTTAATTGGACAGCATGGAGTCCTATTACATATACTTATTATTGTTATACATTTTACTAAGTATCTCAATTCTAATTGGTCGAGAGCCTTCAGCCAATCCCTGATATCGTGTGAACTCGACGTGATAAATGCATTATCTGTAGGTTTTCCGCCGTTGCGCGAAGTAGGGTCACCCCATAATTTACCTATTACGCTTGTGCTTACCTCATTAATATGGATTAGGGAGTATTAGGTAACACACGTTTTTATTGAGCAAATATACAAGGTAGAAGAAAATTTTCAAGAAAAATGAAAATATGAAATTCATAATTATATTTTAAACTTTTTTCTGTTGGAATAAATTTTTTTATTGAGCAAAAATGCACGAGTGTAATTATAAGTAATACAAAAAATGAATAAATTCGCAAGTCTGCTTTACTGTAGACTCCCTTAAATTCTCTACTTCTTGATCCGTCTGAAAAGTGAATCGATTCTTGGATTAAATGGGATTAAATGCCCCCGAAGCTAAGGGAAGTTTAGTGGAAGTCCCTCGGCCTCGGGACTTCCACTAAACTTCCCTCAGCTTCGGGGACATTTAATCCCTAATATTCCGAAGAAGTTAAAAAGTGAAGCCTAGAAAGGAGTTATTGTGAGGGGTCTGAATATGCAAATGTGCCACTCGCTCACTAAGATGTTAGCAGATTGACAATTAAAACGTTTATCGATCGTCTTACATCATCTGCTTACGAATGTTACATGACATTAACAATTACAAAGTTTTTCTGAAAGCTCTTGGAGCGGATGCAATTTAGAAATAAAATCAAATTAAATACGAACTAGCAGTATCTATTTAGTAACTAATAGTCTGAGTCCATGTTTTGTGAGTCCATGTGTTTTGTGAGTCCATGTTTTCTCAGTCCATGTGTTTTGTGAGTCCATGTTTTGTCAGTCCATGTTTTGTAAGTCCATGTTTTGTCAGTCCATGTTTTGTCAGTCCATGTTTTTACAACATGCTGGTTGAGTGATAGCAACTATTAGTCACTAAATAGATACTATTAGTTAGTATTTAGTTTGATTTTAGACTAATTTGGCTATTTATATGAGGAAATGAACTGCCAATGTTTCATGTGCGATATTTCTAGCACTGTRGACCAACTGTGTATGTGCACACTCGCACATACTGTAGTTTTATCTTCGGATTATTTATGTCAAAAGAGTCAAGGAAAGATGCAAGTTGAAGTAAAATTATAAGATTAACACCTAAACTAAACTTCCAATGAGTCAAACCTTTTCTCGCTCATAAACAGAAAAATTTATGTACAATCGTCAACATATTTAGATTTTTTCAGGTAGAGCCAGATGCATCGAAAAAAGGGACTTTTTATCAGATTTTAAAATGATAGTCATGGAGCCTTGAAGAAAGTTCGGCTATTTTTGTCATCCAAATAAGCCGTTCTGAATAAAAAGTAGATTGATCGTTGGACATTACTAGCTCATTTTTCAAATTACAAATGAGGTTATGACCTTTGATACATATTGCACTGTTTATATCTCAAATACACTTAAATGAGATGTTAGAAACGATTTTATGCATGGGCGAAAATGCGTGTRTGAAATAGTCAGAGAGCAAAAAGACTACATACTATACTATTTTACATTTTGCATGTACACAGCATATAGGACTTGCTATATGCTTTAGTTATATAGGTGGATCGAAAGTGTATATAAGTGGTTCGAAAGTGTATACAGGTGGCTCGAAAAGACCTGGACCTGGTTTGAAAAGACCTGGATCGAAAAGACTTTGGTTCGAAAAGACCAGTTACCTTACCTGCCCATTAAATTTTTCTGGGTGCCCCCCTCCCACTACCACTACCACTGCAGCTAAATATCTATAGGTGTAATATAACTGTGCTTTAATTAGACCAAATAAAATAAGATTAAACGTAATCTTACCTGGTACAACAGCACGTAAAGTGTATCGATTGATTTGCTGAGAGGTTGTCACATGTACTTCACTGCAACCTTCAAATACAAGGAAAAATTCTGCTTCTTTAGGTAGTGGAAAGTCATCTGAATATGTTATAAACACCAGTTCACCACCCTGTAAAGAAGGAGAAATAATTTAAATGATTACTAAGCTTCTGTAACTATTTGATTACTTATAATGCATGAATATAAACATCAAGCAATGAAATTGACCAATTTTGTTTGTAGACATAACACAATATTACCATATCCCTCTACAAATGTTACAACAGGAAAAGGCGTTGTCATCTATATGATAGAATAAACATGAAATCCAATGTGTCAATATCTAAATTCAAAACAGTAAATACACTCTTACAATTCTGTAAAAAAAAAAGAGTACAAGGGGTTTCATCAGTCGTTGAAAAAACTGAAAAACTTAAGATTTGTAAATTTGAAATATCACTTACAGTATCTGAGCAATTATGTTACTTATGTTACTACAGTAACTATATTACCTTAAGGTAATTCCCTTGTTTTTCACTGCACATTTTTCATGCAACTAAAAGCATGGAACTAACAAAGTTGAGACTTTTTTTTTYCGGAAACTAAAATAGTTCATTATATTGATGTTTATTTCCAGATAATTTTTTTCAGACCAACTACTGAATAGAGATTTTAGAAGCAGATTTTGAACTCTATCGATAAACAGCTATCTATGTGCAACAGTGATCCCTAGCCAGAGAAATCCGAAACCACTAATACTTAGGGTGGTAAGCCTGTGGTTCTACTTAACGAAATCACTTTTTAACTTACTTCAAACCAATTAAAATGAATGATTTACCCTACTTATAAGCCATTCCCTCACTTCCAAGTAGGAATTCAAAGCACTGCCATTTTGAACAAGTATAGACTGTAAACACTCTTCGTATAAAATGGGTAAAACATTTATTAACAAAAACCAAAAAAACTTATTTGTATTAAACTCATGGGAAAAACTCTGCTAAGAAAAGATTAGGTGTAATTTACTTTTAATACTACTCTTTTTATTCTGTGATTTGCCTCTCAAGACAACTGTAATGAAAACAATGTGACACSACAGTACAACGAGGTGTGACTTCATGAACACTTGTCTAACTGGCTTGACTGCCAAGGTGGTTTTCTTATGAACTGTGACTGTTGAGGTATATTTGCTGTGAGCCATCAGGTGAGCAGCAACACTAATCTTGCACTTGTTGTATTCCTGTGTTACAGATGCTAGCTAAAATCTCGATTTGAGAAATTAGGTGTTGGTTTGTGAAGATAATTTTCAGAGMCTTCAGTACTTTTGACCTGGGGTCATAAAATCGCGCATTAAAACATGTGTGTTTCTCAARCTGTGGCTTGTCAAGTTTAATTCCGATTTCGCTTTCACTCATCTAGGTTGGATCAGAATTTCATATGCAGCCATATGCAAAAATTCTGATCCAACCAACTATATGGTATATAACTATATCAGGTGCATTATGGGTAATAGACCAGTGGGATTCAAARCTATGTACCAAAGCATTGGCTAGCCTACTGAGTGTTGTTTACGAACAGTGCTATAGTCAAGAGGCAAGAATGTGTTGACTTTTTAAGACCTCTACACTATTGGGGGAAAATGTCATTGTAAATGGTTTTATTGATGTAAAGTGAAGCATTGGAAGTTTTGGTTGAGTTTAAAATAAGTTTTGAAATCACTCTTCTTGGAAGTTTCAGTTGAGCTGAACTCAATTCTGCTCTCGTTCTTCGCTTATTTATTTGTCCCCTGCTAAAAGAATCAAGCACTCCGAGGACAGCAAAACAAAACAGTTGGTAATACTTATGACAAAAGTGGTACAGACATTGTTTATCAGGAGCTACTCTGGATAGGATATTTTGCTTTATTCGTAGTCTACCATTTATTATTATTGAGTATCAACTCAATCAAATCTTAGTTGATGAACAGGCTGAATATAATTTTAAGATAAACGGAGGTTATTCTTACTGAAGAGACATTTTCTTCCATTTTTCCTCTGATAACTTAGTGATTCTTCGTTGTTGCTTTTTCTTTTATTTCTCTCTCTCTCTGGCATTCTCATACTACATTTAGCGAAGATAACTGAAGAAAGGTCTTCCAAGTTGAATAGTTTTTAATTCACAGYGATGAAAGACTTCTATGATACAACAAATAAGAAAACTGCAACAAAATTACAGCTTTTACAGTGATAACATGCAACAACGGTTCGTAACAACAAGCAAACATGAATTATTACAGCTAAACATGACTACGRATGAACTTACAAAAATAAGGTATTAAACTACGGAACATAGTACAAACGTATGTCATAGGTCTAACTTGAGCCAGTCAGAGGTCCTTGCGAGTCCTTAGGCTCTACTGACTGGCGGTTAACTTTTCAATAACAATATGACTAAATTAACACTTACACTATATTATGGTAATGTATCTATTTCACGACTTGATACTAATGATTACTACTTGCAGAATTTACTTTCTATTAGAAACAACTAGTTATGTGGCATTAGCCAACATTGGCTTTCATGAAATATGCAATTTACCTAATTCAGAGACATCCCATCATAATAATTTGAGAAGAAGTTTAATAGGTGATCAAAATCAGCTTAACTAACTTCTGACACTTTATTGAGTCTGGTGACCAAACTCACAGGTGCCTTCAAGGATCATGAAAGCAGTAAATGTCATATGTGCCCATTTCACAACTTGCCGTTCACGTTCATTCATAACATCAAAACATAATTTTTAACAACAAAGATATCAAAGGAATGGTTTTTCAAGAAACCTATAGCATTATGTATCATGAGTGAATATAAGTCTAAGAGTAATGGCATTGCAATGCATCTTGTTGACCCTCCATCTCCCATTGAAGTTTTTTGTTTTGGCAAAACATGTAAACATGATAAATGCTAGAGCTTTTAAACAAACAGTTAGAAGTTTTTGTTGCTAGTTGGAAGCCAATTAAAAGTCAGCTACAGATATTTTACGAGCCAATCATGACTGACTGGATCTTGGTTTGATCGAGGTCGTATCTTGTAATAAATGCCCAAAAATAATCTAAAATGCCCTACAAATGCTTTATAAAGCTTTACTGCTGCTAAATAGGTTATAATTGTGTTACTGGTTTGACAATTCCCTTAAGCATTAATGTTGGGCAAGATTTAACCATGCATTATGAGCAACCGAACCATGATTCTGGGTGACTAAACTCATGGGTGATTTAATTATATATAGTGTATTCATTTCATATTATAAATATCATTTTTATATAATTGTATATATATAGTGATTTAATTATATATAGTGTGTTTATTTCATATTATTAATATCTTTTTTATATTATCTTGTATACAGCTATTTGCAAAAATTATGGCGGCTTCCATATATATGTACAAAGTATATCAAAAGCATATCAAAAATTATGGGATATCATCCCTGATATTTTTTTCAAGTTG